ATTACTTTAATTGACTGTGTATGATTTATGTCTGGATGGAGCACATGCTAGTCCAGACCACAGGAGGACATCAAGAGGTTGTCCAGAGAGTGGCTTCTTCACTGGATTGCTATTGATAGCTCAGGACACGTCTTTTCAGTTCTAAGTAACTGTGTATTGCTGAATCTGGTGTATTTCTCTCTTCTCATATTGCAAACACAGCGAGATTTTATGGAAGTAACTGAACAATACTGAGAATGAAATTGTTCATTCTGCTTCTCCTTTGTTAAAAACGCCTTACAAACTTATAGGAGAAACTTACAAGGAGAAATAAAAAGCCATTAAACATACAAAAGAATACATATTTTATGCATATTTAACACATTTGATAACAGATTCGGGCAAGGGAAGTTGCAAATTTTTTCATTGAAAATACACGTTGGACTTCATTCTCTCTCACTACTCTGAACGTGCTGCTAATGTCTCTGATTTCTCTAAAGGACTGATGGTTTCTCTCAGTAAATACTTGAAGCCAAGGCAGGAGCAGCGTTAACAAACTGTGATGCACCGCGCCCAAGGGATGGCACAAAGGGCCCCCGACTCACCTATGAGCTCCCCGGTCATGAAGAGGAGGTAGAGGATGGCAGCGAGCGCCAGCCGCTTCTTCACCTTCCTCTGCTTGGAGCGCTCCCGCCGGCTGCTGCAGCCGCTGCAGGGGTCCGGCCGGCCGGCCCGGGCGCTGCGCAGGGCGATGTCCCGCTCCAGCAGGGACTCGTCGTCGGACGGCAGCCCCGGGGGTGCCCCGTTCACCGGCGTCTCCGGGGCCGCCTCCGAGCCGTCGTCCGCCACCACCACGCGCAGCTTGTTAAACCTGGGGAAGTCCTCATCCCCCACCTCGTCCGAGAAGTCAAAGGCACTGGAGTCGTTCAGGAACAGCGGGTCCTCGCCCCTCCGCAGCAGGGACTTGATGCTCGCCCAGAGCCCGGCCCCGGCCATCGCGGCGGTGCCCGGGGGGCCCTCGCCGTGCGCGGCCGACCCGCCGCGGGCGGCTCCGCTGGCGCAGCTGTGCCCTGGCAGGCGGCGCCCGACCGCTCCTCGTCCCGTCAGGGCATGTCCCCTACATCGCCCCGCGGGGCCCTGCGCAGGCCGCCCGGAACGCGGCGCGGGGCTCCGGCACGCCCGGCGCACTCCGGCACCCCCGGTCCGCACCGCCGCCCCCGCGCCGGGCACGGCGGGCGCTGTCACCGCCGGGCCGCGCAGCGCCCAGCCCCGGTCACGGCGCGGCCGGGCAGGCGGCGCCGGGCGCAGGGCCGCCTCCTCCCTGCCGGCGCAGGGGGAGCGCCGCCGCTGCCGCCATGCGCGTCACATCCCCCCGCGGGCGGGCACCGCGATCCCGCACCGCGATCCCGGGGCCGCCCCGCGGGACCCGCGTCCCCTGCGCGCCCGCGGACCCCGCCGGCACCGCGCCTGCGCCACCCGCAGCGGGGCGGCCGCGGGTTCGAGTCCCGCCGAGCGCGGGGCGCGGGGGCCGCACGGCGGGGTCGGGGCGCGGCGGGGCCCGCCCGTCCCTCGCGGTACCTGGCGGGCTGTTCCCGTCCCTGCTTTTGTGCTCAGTGGGTAAATGCCGTGCGAGGTACAGACTGACAACTGCCAAAGCCCTACAATCCAGGTGTGATCTGTGAAAGACAAGAGGCTCTTTTCAATTACACTGGAAGCCCCGACTGCATGGCCGTGCTCTGGCTTGAGATTTTAAAAGGCAGAAGTTTGCATTTTGTCGCTTTCTCTCCCTGTCAAAGGCGCCGCTCTTCACACCGTTTCAGTAGCTCCATTTAGTAACATGCACTCTTCTGGACATTCCTTAAATGTATCCCTTAAAATATGACCTTAAGAATGTAGGGAGAAACAAACATCAGAGACCCTGCTGTTCTGTAATTCCTTTCATTACTGTGTTCTAACTTAAGAGTAATTAGATTTTTGCCTTTATTATTTTTTCTGGTTATTTAGAGTTAGTCCCCCTCCTCGCTGGTCTGAGTACTAGAATTTTCTTCTAATTTCCAGCCTCCACATATTCAGCATCAGTTTGTACACATGGCCGAATTTTGTTACTGCATTCAGTCAGTTCCTTAAGTCATAAACATTTCTGCAAAAACACTCCTGTCTCAGGGAAATTACATATCCTGGGTTTTTACTTGGTTGAAGGAGGTTACTAAGTGAAGACTGGAGAGCTGTAGAGAAGTGCAAGATTTTGGAGAAAGGCACTCCCTTTCTGGTCAAGGACTGATAGCAGATTCTGGCGGGTGTTGGGGTACTGCCACAGGATGTGGAGTGGAATGTGTTCCCTTCCTGGAACAGGCCCTGCAGGAGGGGAGCCCTGTGTGGTAAACTGGCCTTGGGCGGAGGTTGCTTATTGTTGTTCTTGTTGTTCTCCGTAATGATGTCCACTAATAAACAGTATGATGATTTGTCCGAGCTCCCTTGCCACTTTACAATGCAGCTGTTTTCCTTCGCATGTAACCTCAAGTTATTCTTTCTCAGGTGGTTAAAGAGGTGCCATCCCTGGCCTTTTCACCCACCTCGTAATTCCCCCAGCAGAGCTACCAGCACAATTTTTGTGGGCCAGGCAATGAATTGGGTCCCTGAGATCTACGAGAATTAAAAAAATACATATTGAAAGGGTTTCAGACGTATTTGTATGTGTAACTGAGACTGCTTCCATGACCACAACTTGCATAGACATCCATGTGACAACCGAGGGGGCAGCCAACAGTGTGGGAAGCAGCATGAGCAGCCAAGGCTGGGAACCTGTTAAGCCAGCCTAGGAAAGTGCTCCCAGCTGTGTTCCAGTTCATGCATTTTTAACGTTTCTGTTCTCTCTGCGTGATTTAACTCACTCTGTGTTTCAACAGTTTCACCACTTGTACCAGCACAAGTGAGCGAAGACACGCAGGCATGAACAGCCAGGTTCCAGGAGCCACCAAAACAACTGCTCTTAAGACTCCTAAATTGTTGAGCTTTGCGCTGGGGCTTTGCCACTTCTACAGGAACAGAAACTTCCAGCACTGAGTAAGGGTATTAATCTGAGGGGACTTAACACTTTAACACCCTAAACCAGTACCCCAAGGTTTGCCAGCTCGTCTTTTACTGAATAACTAAGACCACATTTTTTTCTTTGCCAAGTCAATAACCAGGTCATACATTGGTGAGATGAACCTCTGTGGAACAGAGCCTTTTGTAACAGCCAGCTACACTCCATTTCTTTATTGTGACAGCCAAGGCTGTACTTTTTCAGTAGTCTCGTTTACTTAATAAGGACAGAGAGTCTTTAAAAGGTTACCTATTTAATATTTCCTTTTCATGCTGCCATCCCTGAAGTCATGCAGCACTTCCAAAGCTGTTGTTTTAAAACATCTTATTTGCTATACAATTCAAGCTAACTCACTCCATTTTCACTCAGATTTCTAGAGTGGGACAGTGTTACATACCTGCTTAAATCAGTTACAATAAAATCCAAAATGTGTACGTGACAGTGTTGCATTAAAGGATTCTGAACGCAGTTGCTACAAGATGAATGAAAAGGAAACACAATTATTTGGTGTTACAGTGGTATATACATGGCATTTGGATAATAGTTACTATGAAACAGAGAACATTTTGCAGAGGAAAAGAATCAGGAAGGGCTTTCTGTCGGTCTCTTTTTTGGAGCATTTGGGTTGATAAATAGTTAAATTTTAACTTATCTAGAAAACCAGATACCAGTTTTCTATTCCAATCCTTAGTCTATTTCTGCAAGACGTGGGAAGGCCTAGAACAGGCAAAGCAGGAGCACAAATCTGAAACTCCCACATCTCAAGTGAGACTATTTCAGAATCATTATCTCACTTGCTCTTACTAAAAATTCCATCTGGAAGCTTAGAAGTCTTTCCCAGTGAAACTTTCAATAAAAGTTTTTTTTTTCCCCCCACCAAAAGAAACTTGAAGTAAAGTTGCTAATCAGTTGTAATTCAGAATTTAAGTTAACAGGTTCCTGTTGTTGCTTCTTTTTTAGAGTAAAAGCAGAAAAAGGAAGAAAAATGTGTAACGTTTTTAATCTGATGACAGAATACTGACATAATTGTGATCAACAGTTGATTAGAATATACATATGAAGAAAATTACAAATTAATTTGCAACAATCTCACTGTTAAAAATGTCAGTTTTAAGGCTGACAGATCACCTCAAAAGTCTGGTTTTTTGCCCTGATCTGTTTCTGAAGAACATTAGGGGGACTGCCTTAATTTAATTTAATCTTGAAGGTTTAGGGGTTTATGGAAATACTGCATTCCAAAAACACTCTGAGTGGTTCCTTCATCAGTTTCTTTCTATAGTTGCACCTGCATTTCCTGGAAAGATCTTTACAGGTAAAAGAGGGGGGAAAAATATAAATCCTACCATACCTTTTAAAGTGTTTTTTCATTAAATATATATATGCAAGTTATTATTGCTCTTACGACTGTTGAGTGAGATGCCGAGACAGATACATACACAAAAGCCGGTTATGTATTTCCTAAGAAACAAAAGCTACAAGTAGTGAATAGTCCGCATGGTTTCTGGAGAATAACATACAGATTTATCAAATATAGGAGGACAAAGAAAGGCCACCCTGCGGTGATTTCAGCTGTTTTCCCCGTGGCAGCAGAGCTGGCTGAGCTGAGCCGTGGTGCTCCCGCGGGGCCGCCGCTCTGCCCCGGGGCGGGTCAGGCACCGCCCCACGGCGGCTCCCGGAGTCAGCCCCGTCACTGTCACCCCTCACGTCATGATCATCACTGCACGTCACCCTCGTCACCCACACGTCAGTACCGCACTCCACATCACTTCCGCGCCCGGCGCGGTCCCGTCCCCGGGGCACAGCGGCTCCTCTCTATGGTGCGGCGGGGCGGGGGTCGCCGGTCCGCCCCGCTCGGTGAGGGCACCGGACCCGCCTCCCTCCGCCGCGGGCGCGGCCCTTGCCCTGCCGTGCCCGAGGGGCGGCCGGAGCGGCGGCGATGAGCGGCGCGGAGCGGCCGGAGGAGGCGGCGGCGGCCGCGGGCGGCCCCGGGCGCTCGCTGGGTACGTGAGGGGCGGCCGGGCCGGGCCGGGCGGGTGCGGGGGCCGAGGAGGGACTGGGGCCGTCCTCGATCCTGCGGCCGCGCTCCCTCGGGGCAGAGGGGGCACTGCTGCCGTCGTTCTCCCCCAGGCGGTGGGGCCTGCGGGTTGAAGGGTTTTGTCTTCCAAGAGCTCTGCACGCAATAAATAATAACGGCGCGCTAATACGGAGCTTACAGTAGCTCTTAACCAGCTCCTGCAAAGTCCTGGAGTTCGGCACGTGGTGTTTCAAGGAGGTCTTCTTGTGTTTTGAGTGACAGGCGAAGACCTTCCAAAGGCCTGGTTTGTTCTCTGACTTTAAAAGCAAAGGGGGGGTGTTAATGTTTAGATCTTGATGCATAGCCAGGACAACTGATGTTGCCCCTTTTCTTCCTCAGTAGCCTGGAGCATTTGGGGTTTTTTTTTGTAAGATGTCTGTGGAATATTCTTATTTCTCCTCTTTCTATTCAGCTGGTTTTCAGACAAAAGGGTTCACCAGGAAGCTCGTGATATAGGACTGGGAATTAGGAAGGGATAAAGAGGGGGAGGAAAAAGGAAGCACAGTTTAGTTGATAAAGTGCAGAGAATTGTAACTTTAGTGTTGAAATACTTTTGATTTAAACAAGTAAATGTAGCTGCTGTAAGTGACACAGTGCGTGCTGACCTGTCGCATTCAACCTTGCTATTCTTTGCTTTAGGCCCTAGTGTTGCATCTCCAGATGAAGGAGTAGTAGAAGATCTGCCTTTAATAGATGAGAAAGCTGTGGAGCAGCTGACTGAAGGATTGATTTCCCATTATCTGCCTGATCTTCAGCGATCAAAATCAGCACTGCAGGAACTTACGTAAGCAGATTTTTAAAACCGACTTCATAGACGTGCACACTTTGTTTGCCACTTTTTTCAGTTTAATGTGCCAGCTCCCCTTAACTGCAATAGAGTTTATCACAGCATTTCTGTGCCCTGACTGGAGCAGCATGAACAGTTAAGTGCTCTGCAGGAGTACTGGTGGTGTATAAGCTGCCATGTAGCCTGTAGGAACTTTGACTGAAGAATGTGTAACATTAGAACACTGAAATCCCCTGAGCTGGTGTAGCAGAAGACATGGAGGTTTCTTAAACACTTGTTCACATCTGTAGTGGAAAGTCTGCTGAAAGCTGGATTTATGTCACTTGCAGAGATGCAGTTTGTATTCAGAGCAGCTTGTAGTCCAGTGAATTTTTTGTTGTCCAGTCTCTAATCTCCGTTGCAAAAGCTACACTTGAAAAATATAAGTAAGAAGCTAAATAGATGAGAATTCTTTGTACATTGATATCTCAGTGATAACTGAGAGTAGTTGATTTCAAATGCAGACTGGGTCTGCCATGGGTGCAGAGATACTGCAAAGGACTTTACACAGATCCATCTCAGGTTCTACAGGGTACATTGGTTTGGGTTTCATTACACATGATGTGATTATGCTGCTGCCAAGGACAGCCCGTGTCTGGAGAGACTTGAGCTGATCTGTGTGGGATGGAGGATCCTTAATAAGCACCAAGGATCCACACAAGTTCTATACAGAAATAACTTGGTCCTGCAGTGTAATGCAGAGGCACCCAAGTGGAAAGGCGAGAGCTAATTGTTTTTCCTTTCATTCAACCACTGCAGCCTGGAGGGTGCCTCTTCAGGGGTTTTTGGGTATTCATCCATGCTGTATGATGCCAGATGAATTCGTGTACTCAGCTGGGATTTTTCTAAAACCATTTACTCATGTCTTTATTGAAATGACCTAGCAATGCATAAGAAGAATCTGATATTGAGAAGTGTGTATTTATATTGTTATAATCAAAAGTCCTATTTATTTAAAGAGCTGGTTGAAAAGCATATGTGTTGCTTTACTTTGGGTTTATGCATCTTTTTTTGTTTTAGACAGAACCAGGTGGTATTACTAGAAACGTTAGAACAAGAAATTTCTAAATTCAAAGAGTGTAACTCCATTCTTGAAATCAATGCTTTGGTAAGTACCAATAAATACCTTTTTAAATCCCTATTAGTGTAGGTTTTTCTTGCTGAAACATTAGTAGCAACTTGTGTATATTCCTTGTTCTTAGTGGCCTACAGGAAGAAAACCAACCAGTTCAGATATTTGGGACAAATTGTTGCTGGAGAGGGTGGGAACCAGCATATTTCTCTTAAATAGGAAGGGCACTGGGAAGAGAGGGCAGGCTCAGTCAGCCAGTGGTAGTAAGACTAGTCATTCAAAGCCAGCAGCCAAAGCAAATGTATGCCTTTTTCTGGCAGGACTAAGCTCTGTGCACCTCCCAAAACTAGCAGGAGGGGTGCATGAAAACTCATATATGGTGCATGGAGTAGTAATATTTTTATTCTATATGATGAATTTTAATTTGGTAGATTACTGGGTGTCCCTGTTGAGATATGGTATATATTGATACAGGTAATATATAAATTTATATATTTGATGCATTAGCAAACTGTTCTGGTAATCACTATGCTTGTGATTGCCATGTTGCTGTGTAGCTTTATAAAACAACCATTACAACTTGACAGTCACTGCTTTAGCAGTTGTGTTTTTTAAGTTTTCAGAAGCTAAACACTATCACAACAAGTTAGTGAATATTAGAAATGAAATGATGATGATCCATGAGAAGACGTCAAAGTTAAAAGTGAGTGAAATAAATATTTTTACTTTCCAGTATAGATAATTTCTTATGTATTATTGACTTCTAGCTTTTGGATGCATGCTGAAAGTTCTGATTAAAATAGAATTGTATCTGAAAGGATGTTTCCAGTAGCACCAAGCCACGTGTGTTTTTAAACTTTCACTTACTCCTAAAGCTGCTTAAGCAACTTTTACATCTGAACTACTAGTAAATCTCAGTGTTTTCAGCATGTTTAGTTGGTATAAGAATCACACTTTGTTCTGTCACTTAAACCACTCCATTCCAACCAGTTCTCTTCGTTGTTTCAGTTTCTTTCTAATGAAAAGTAGATTGTCATAAATGTAAGAATCGCTCTTTCTATTTAATGTACCAGTAACAATAGTGTAAGTTCACTGACTTTGTGCTGTATAGTCAGGTTACATTGTGGCAAGTCCTTCAGTATGTTGAAGGAGGAGGATTTTCCTCCAAGAGGATTTTCTCTTGGAGGCAATAAATTGCATAGTAATCACTTTGTCTGGTATACTCAAAGGGTGACTTTTAGTGAGATTGAAGGGAATCCAGTTTGCATTTTCCCAGTGCAGATCAGACTTGCCATTTCTGAACAGTAGGCTGCAAGTGGGAGGAACGAAGCAAAAATGAACAGTTCAGGCAACATTCGGTCGTAAAGAGGGTGGATTGGAGAAGGGAAGGGATTTTGTTGGTAGCTCTAACTTAAATATATCTGTAAAACTTACAATTATTTTCTTGTCCTTTCTGTTTAGAAAAGAGCACTTAAGCTGCAACAAAAGAGGCAGAAGGAAGAACTAGAACGAGAGCAGCAACGTGAGAAGGAGCTTGAAAGAGAGAAACAGTTAACGGCAAAACCTGCAAAGAGGACATGAAAGCAGAGCATGCAACAACTTGTCTGAATTAATGATTTCTGCATTCTCTGGAATTAAGGTGGACTTTGCTTAAACTGGGCTATAGCTGTTACTGGCAACCTCTGGTAATACCCTATGGTATTATAAATTCCAGAATGGTAATAACAGTGTTGGTAACATTCACGTTTTTTCATTTCAGCCATTCAAGTTGCCTTCTTTTGTAATGCTATGCAGTTTGATATTATTATAACGTAAGTTAATTTTTTATGTATATGTATATTGGAGAACTTAGGCATCATAATTTTAAATATCAATTTTTTTTTCATTTGTCCTTCTGGTGTTTGGAATTCTGAGAGGTATTTGATGACTGGTACGCATGTTTTTCAGACAAAATACAGAATACCAGTTAAAGTTCCCTTCTCATCACTGATCTTCAGTGGCTGCCTGTTTCACTGAAACTGCTTTGTTTCAGGCAGTTGGGATCTGCCTTTGATCACAAATACTGACTTTTTGTGCAGCCTTAGTTTGGTCCATCTCTAACGATTCAAAGAAACTTCCAGTGTATTTGCCTAAAAACTCACTTTATTGCTGCAATCTTATTTTTTTGGCATCAAGTAGCTTAAAAACAGTTTTAAAGTAACTCCTGAATAAGTTCCCAGCTGAATTGATTGACGGGGGGGAAGCAGAACACGAAAGATTGTCGAAATTGATGTGTGCACAATGCAGAGATTGATGAATTTGTGCTTCCACAAACATTTGAGTCAAACCAGGGAACTGTTGCTTCTGTAATGTCATCTAAGCATATTTTTTGTGGGATTAGAAGTTACAGTTTCTTTGTCTTGTGTGACAAAATAAAACATAACCAAAACTAAACAATTTCCACTTCAGTTACCTGTAGGAAAACTATTGCATTTAATGTTTTTTCCTTAACAAATGAATCATTTGCACTTTGGGGCAATGTAAGAGAATTTTTGTTATGCTGTCCTTACCCAAATTGATGATTATTACTGTGTACTGATGATAAATTTGAATGGAGGTTGATATCCATTTCTCTGAATGTAATTCTTGTCTTGCAGCACTTGGTGTGAACTCCCATTCCAATGAATGTACATGTTGTCTAGACTGGTAAAAGAGCTTTAAACTATTTGTTCCTACAGTCTAACAAACTAGCTATTTTATATCTGTGTTATTTTCTAAGTGGTAATGTAAGTGGTGTGTTTTGAAGTAAGATAAAGGATAAGCTATGTAAAGTTTTCCATAAAATATGTATGGAAAGGTATCAGAGAGGCACAGGCAATTTTATTTTTTCTTCTGTTTTAGATGACTTTTACACACTGTACACCTGCCTGGATTCTTCTGTATTGTGATTTTCTCCTAATTTCCTGTTCTTAATGTTTGTCATCTTTTTCTAACAAGTACCCATCCAACATGCAAGGTAAACTGGGATAAAATTTAGGGGCAAGGAGAACAAACTACTTAAAGCCTACTTAGAGTCTGAAGAGACACTGAAATGCTGTTACTGAAGCAGTAATAGATTAAAACTTTCCACAGGTATTTTTCCCTTAAGTTGACTTGTGTCTGTTACTTGCCAGTGGATTGTTGACCTGTGCTGTGGTTTGTACGTATTTCTAAGAGAAATGTAAAGAATTTCCACAGTCCATTTTTTGGAGCAGAATGTACATAAGTAAATGTTGTTTAAATATTTTATTTTGTAATGTAATTTGAAAATCAGATTCTGGGAATTTAAACAGTTCTCATTAAAGTATAACATAAAACTAAATGCCTCAGTATCCAAATCAGGATTGAACTCCTTTGGTGTTTCTTGATTTGTGTTCCCTCATCTAAAAACTCACTGTGTTTTAAAATCTGTTTACTGTGTCAAGTTGTAATCTCTCTCTGTGAAGAACTGTGGGTGGTTTTTTTGTTTTGTTTTAAAACTCATGGCTACTTTTACTGAAACTAGAGAATTCTAAGCATAGAAATTGATGCCTTTGCAAGTGCACACTTCAGCATTTCTTTGGAATAATTTGTGATCAGAAGAAGAAAAGCTGACAGTGCTTGCCTGAGGAATCACATACATATACAGAAAAATGTAATTGATTAACTTTTTCTGTAAAAGTATAGTAAAATCTGTTTTTTCTATGAATAAGGAACTAATTTTACTAAATTACCTTTCTGTAATAAAGGGGAAGGCATAAATAAAAATATATAGGGGGAAGTTTGTTCAGTTTATGTAACTTTAATTAATGAGCTTTTAAATTACTTTGATCAAAACTACAATTCATTATCTCTGTAGAATGTTGTTCTCCCAAATACTCTTATATCTTAATGCATAAAAGTAAATACTGCACTGGATGAGTTTAACAATACTGGCATCTAAACTTGTGTTCTTGCAGTAACGTGCACAGCTACAACGAGTAATTCTATTGCTGTATACATTTAGTCTGGCTTGATTTTATAAAAATTACTTGTCAAATAGATAAATCCAGTAGTATTAGACATTACTTACTGAATTTTTGTCCTATCCATGTGAGAAGGTGTAGTTAGCTGCATTTTTTTAGAAACAGATAAAATGACAGCATTAAAACAAGTTTGGGGTTTTTTTGTGCTGTTTCATACTCAGTGTACTCACTTGTTTTTAAACAATCAAGTCATAGCAGCAGAAGTAAGAACTTAACTGTGCAGTAACTATTTGAATTTTTATTTTGTAAGGTTCTACAAGTTTAGGAGTTACCATGGCTCACTGGGGAATCTTGGTTTCCCATGCTGTTATCTTTGCTGTTGTTAACCCGGATGCTTCTTTTGGGTTTCCCTACCTATACCTGAACAGCTTTGCATGAGACAATTTTTAATCCAGTGAAATCTGGCTTTGTCACTACTAGGGATATTCATATATTCATAAGATGAATACTTGTTTCCTTTTGGAAAATGGCTGCAGAATATTTTAGCTGGTTTTCCTCTGTATGCTGTGACCTAAATGATAATAGCGTAAATAATAACATAAAGGCTGTTTCTGTAGCTGTTCTGTTGGAATTCCAGCAGCTGAGAGAATTCTCTGGCTGATTTATTCTGAATTATGCTTCAGTAGACACTTTCTGCCACAATTGCTTGCTTTGCAACACTGCTGGCTGTTCTTTATTTTAATTCTGAGCTTGGTGCTTTAATGTCTCACCTTGCAGGGGTCAGGTTTTTTTAAACCTCATTAAATCTGATTGCTTGTTTGATCTTTGTTGGATTCATTATGTGAATATAACTAAATTCCTGCTAAAAACTGTGCAGGACTTGCAGTTAGTGATGCAAATCTGTAAGAATACAAATCATAGCAGAGTAAATATTAATATGGCTATTCATGCCAGGCAGAACAGTACACACTAAGTTTCTCAGTGAGGCAGTATGTGAAGGTAGCAAAGATGGTTTGATTTATTTATTTCTTTATTTATTTTCAAATCAAAGCTTAAGGTGAAGGAAAGAGTTGGGTTTGGCCCAAATATCACTGCTTTCCAGTAATTTGAAGCATATTTATACTTACTTTAATCTTCTCAGTCAATTAGTAGAAAAACAGGTACCAAAACTGGACAGTGACATCCCCCCCACCACCACTGTTGTGTCTTCAACCCATCCTTTGTGATACCAGCGCAGCCAAGAACTCTTATGATGTGACAAATTCAGTTTTCTCAGACCTCCTCTACATAGGTGATTGAACTAAAACTGATGGGAAGAACAACTCTATTAGAGTCACAGCAGTGCTGGTGTGGAAAATTGGAGAATTTTAACTGTTTTCCCTCAGGCAGTAACTTGACAACAACATAGCTGGGAGGTTGGGACTAACTCGGGTTCACAGTCCAAGTTGTTCATGAAGTGCTGTGTGGCTTCAAAGCACCGATGTTGGCCATACCTGGTATATCAGTATTTCCTTCTTGGTTTTGCTCCTGTGTATCAGTTTATCTCCATGATGTCAAGTCATGGGGTTTATGAAAGGAAATAGAACATGGGGCATTCCAGGAAAGCCTGGTTGCCTGGAGAACAGGGAATGTTATCCAATCTGCTCCCACAGCCACCCTGGGGTGCCAGTGGCCCGGGCAGTGTGTGCCCAGCCCTTGCACAGCAGCTCCCACCCTCTCATCCTGCCTGGATTTTGCTGTTTTGGGAATGTTTATGCAGCACTCCCTGCAGCTGCAGGAGGGCTCTGTGCTACAGGTGAGTACTTTGTGTTTGGTTTGTGAGTTCTGTTTCTAAGTTATGGTATTCATTTAAGTAATTATTTTTTAATTAAAATTACGGACCATCTGTGTAAGAAGTCAGTGGGGAAATATGCATGGGAGCATAAAGAAAATATTTTAATATTTAAGGACAATCCTAAAAATACATGTTTTAAAAAAAACAATATGACCATTTTCTTCTCTCATGGACTGAGATGAAGATTGACCTCTTAGAACAAAAAGAATGGGAAAAAGGCTGTACTCTGGCTATACCAAGGCAGCTGGGAAGTCGAGAAACTCTTAAAAATTATAGAAGTGGGCAGTCTGGGTATTTTAAAAGACGTGACTATAAACCATGGTTTATTTTTTTTTTCTCTTTAGAGAAGTCACTTGTATTAACAAAGAAGCCTAATCTCCATGTAATATTTTTTAAGATACTGGTTGTGTCTTCTTTCAATACATTTTCTGTCCAGTAAAACCCATGAAATGTGGGTGTTCAGCAGCACCTTGAAAAGTGAGCCTTTGCCTCTCACTGGGAATGCACTGTCACCAGACCTCGTTTATTATTAATTCTTGATCTAGTATGTGTTTTGGTGCTATTTTATTAAAGTTTAATTAATTTAGCATTTTCCTGTCTATACAAAAATACCACTTGATTAAGGTTCAGGGTTGCTGCTCATGGGTAACCTGAGGAAGTTCAGATATGGAAGTATCAGTGGTCACTTCGTCACACCTATTGTAGTGGTTGTGATTTTGGTTTAGCTTAGCCTGACGTGAGCGACCTCTGCCATCTGGGTCTAGGTGGGACTGCTAGGCTGGTGCCAGCAGCTGAGTTTAGACCAGGAATTGGCAAAAGTCTAGGTTTAGTACTGGAGTTTCAAAACTGAGAGAGAAGCGCGGTGTTTGGAGCTGTAGGTGCGGTCGGTACCTGGCCCGGCTCAGCAGCTCGGGGGCTCCTTGGGGCTGCGAACACACGGGCAGGACGGGACGGGACGGGACGGGACGGGACGGGACGGGACAGCCCTGCACGGCTCTCCGGGCCGGAGCGCGGCCTTTGCCCGCGGCCGGGCAGCACCGCTGCCCCGAGCTCCGCCCCGCCGCTGCTGCCGCCGGGCCCCGCCGCTCATCGGGTCCTGCCCCGCCTCTGCCCGGCGCGGCCAGCAGGTGAGTGCGGGGCCGGGAGCGGGGCCGGGAGCGGGGCCGGGAGCGGGGCCGAGGGGTCAGTCCCGCCGGGAGGGAGCGGAGGGGCCCGGGCAGAGGGGCTCGGTTCGCCCCGGGCAGAGGGGCTCGGTTCGCCCCGGGCAGAGGGGCCCGGCCGCGGCGTGAGGGGGCGGAGGTGGCGGGGTGGCCCCGACGGGAGGGCCGGGGAGGGAGCGGCGGGAGGGCCGTGGGGGGAACGGCTCTGCCCCGGGGTTGTCCCCCGAGCTCCGGGGTTCTGCCCCAGCCCCGGGGTTGTGCTCCTGCTCGGGGACAGCCTTGCAGGACCGGGTGCCTCTGGTCTCGGGAGGGCGAGGGGCAGCGGGTGCCGTGAGCCTGGTCTGTGGGGCTCGTAGGCTCCGCAGCGGGGTGAGGGATTGCGTTCTGTGCTCGCACAAGTGCATGGGTGGAATGTTTGAACTGCTAATCTGGGGCCAACTGTTTAAAGAATGGTTACAATGATCTTGTTAGTGAGACTTTTCTAACTTCGTTTGTTCCAACTCCCTGCAAGAGATTGTTCATGAACTGGCTCGATGAAATTGTCAGGCTTGGGAGCTGAGTATAGGGGAGGTACTCCAGAGAGGAAGAAAGTATAGTTGTCCTGAGTGTCTCTGCATGAACTGCCATGCTGCAGTTAAGTGTTTGTTCTGGGCACTAGTCGAGATAGTGCCAGTGCTGTAACAAACCACAGTGTCCTGAAAGCATTTGTAGAACAGATTTACCTCTCCTAGTGACAGAATGAGTTTTAAACAGCAGAACTGTCCCAGGCTAAGTAGAGCCCTTGATAAGGTGAAATGTACGGCAGGCTTTGCCTTTCTAGGCTGTACTCTGAGACTCGTTTATGGATCTTCGTTAGGAGTGTGATTTTGTGCTATATAAGGCCAATATCAACTGTCGTGTTTTGTTGTGCATAGTTTAAAGGATGATGGATAAGTGTGCTATCTGTTAAAGCAGTCTTCTAAAAGCATAACATTTCAGCTCAGTTCAGTAGGTTAGCTGTGAATTTTCTCCTTTACCTTAATTTTAGTTCTGTAATTCCCCTGTTCCTCTGTCTCCTGAGGCCGAAGGAGAGAGCTGATGTTGTTGTTGACTGAATCAATTGTCCAGCTGCTGCCTGACTTGGGAGTTTAATAGGAAGCTGCTCTTTTTGAAACAGCTGTCTACAAATGATTGTTTCTATATACTCTGAAACTACTGAGAAGCAACATAATGCAGCATTTGCATCAATTACACTGCTGTTAGTTAAGGAACATCTTGTGTGTGCTTAGAAGCACACTTACATAAAAATCTGTGTGGTCAGAGAGGATGATTATTCCTTAGTTAGCATTACAAAAATGGAGTCTTGTTCTCTTGGTCCAAAGTGTGTTGTCAACCAGCAGGCCACTGGACATGTTCTGTGT